CATCTCGCAACCAGAGGTATCCACCCCTGGAAGTGCCTTCTTCAGGGTCAGACTGACCCCTCCTTCCTTTTCTGTCCCTCCATCAGAGGAGTTCCTGAGGGAGTTGCATGGTTGCTGGCGAGACCCCAAAGCCTTTGCGAGCCTCTCCGCAGATGGCCGAGTGTTGGCGGCCATGCATGAGCTAGCAGCAGCAGGCTTGGATTGCATGCCAACAATAGAACCTGCTGTTGCCTCTTTCATCTTGTCACCAGAGGAAGCTCTGCGCAGTCATGTTTGGTGCCCACGAGCTCAGTGCCGTGTCACGGATGAATTCCTCTGCAGAGCCTATGCCGCCGGAGCGCGTGCTGGCCGCTTAGGTAATTCCTTGGCACACCTCATGCTTGCCCTCTCCGCGTCTCTTCAGGGGACTAGTGCTGTGACAGCAGCAATGGGCTTTAGCGATACAGCGTTTCAGGCCTTTGCACTAATGACGAGGGAGCTTGGGCGCGTGATGTCGTCCTTGGTCCAGGCTCGCCGACAGTTCTGGTTGGCGCAGTCAGCATTGACTGAGCCATGCCGTAGAACCCTCCGTAATGTCCCAGTGGTGCCGGGGGAGTTGTTCGGTTTGGCTGCCTTGGAAGCGCTGGAACAGACTGTCCAAGCACGACAGAGAAGGCAGCAATTTTTGAGCCTTAGCAAGGCAATGCCCCCTCTACCTCCTCGGCATCCAAGGCGCCCGTCGATTGACTCCAGCATGCAGCCGCTGCCTGGGGGTCATAACTGTCCGAGTGGTCCTTACCCTCATGCGGTTCAGCAAAGGCCCAGGAGGAGCTTTCGTGGGTCGGTCCACCGACAAGATGGGCAGGCTTGGACCAGGGACTCTGGCTGCCGCCCCCCCACGGCCCCTAGGGGTCTTCGAGGGAGACGGTGATGCCATCAGGCCGACCATCGGATATTTCTCCCACCAGCAGCTCAGTTACTGGGCTGCTCATGCCGTGGACTCATGGGTGGTTGACACACTGACCCATGGTTACCGGCTACAGTTCCGACGGCGGCCTCATATCTCACGCTGGGTCAAGATGACTGTAATCGCCGACCCGGTGAAAGCTCAAGCACTAGACCAGGAACTTTGTGCCCTCCTGGCCAAGGGCGCAATAGAGGCAGTGGACTCTCTGCAACAACCCAGGGGCTATTACTAGACTTACTTCCTCGTGCAAAAGAGGACGGGTGGGTTTTGTCCCATTTTAGACCTGAGGGGACTCAACCAGTACCTTAGGGAGCTGCCCTTCCACATGCTCACGACAGCAGAAGTCCTTCAAGCTGTCATGAGGGAAGAATGGTTCACGTCTGTAGACCTGAAGGATGCGTATTTTCATGTGCCTATTGCGGCAGAACATCGCCGCTTTCTCAGGTTTGCCTATTGGGGTCACCACTGGCAGTTCTGGGTACTCCCATTCAGGCTCTCTCTCTTCCCGAGGGTGTTCACTCAGTGCGTGAAGGCAGCCCTCTCTCCTCTGCAGGCCTGCGGAGTGAAGATTCTGCCGTACTTAGACGATTGGCTTCTCTACGCCCCGTCTCAGGCCTGTGCCTTTCACAACACATACCACCTGCTCGCTCATATGTTCCAGTTGGGCCGCAATGTCAACCTGGAGAAGAGCTGCCTGATCCCTTCCCTTCTGTGCCGCCCTCCTTTCGAGCCTCTGACGCAGGCGGACCTCAAGTGGCTTTCATGCAAGATGGCTTTTTTGTTGGCTATTGCCTCAGCAAAGAGGGTCAGCGAGCTACATGCTCTCTCAGCCAGCCCCTCATGTCTCAGGTGGGGCCCTGAGGGCTCTTGTGTTACCTTGTGGCCAAACACTGCATTTGTACCAAAGGTGTTATCTCACTCTCACTGTAACCAACCGTTGAGGCTGGCACGTTTTCAGCCTACGCCTGGTGAGGGGTCTGGATTATTGTGCCTGGCGAAGGCACTGGAGGCATACGTTGCAGCTACTGCCGAGATAAGACATTCAGACCAGCTGTTTGTGTGTTATGGAGGCCCTAGGTTAGGCTATCCTCTTTCCAAACAGCGCCTCTCCCACTGGATCGTGGACGTCATCTGCCACGCCTATGCTGCAGGGCCCGGCCCCCTGCCGGTAGGCTTGAAGGCTCACTCTACCAGGAGCGTCTCCGCTTCCTGGGCTGCCCTGAGAGGGGTTCCGCTGGAAGCAATATGTGCTGCTGCATCATGGGCTTCCCCAAGCACGTTCACCAGATTTTATAGAGTTAACGTGGCCACCCCTCATCCCCTGGGCCAGGTTCTTCTACAAGGGTCCTCTGGGCCTCCTCAGTGAGGTGGGTGTTTAGGATTCCTTGTGACATCATTGGTATTAGTCATTCAGTAATTTTAGCACCGCCCTCTGGCGGTCAGAAGGGATGAAATAGAACAAAAGTTACGTATGTAGCTACAGTTCTATGAATCCCGGATGACCGCCAGAGCTTCTCTGTCACTCAGAATCCTTGCGTTCCGTGAGAAGATTCTGTAGGAGCAGAGGTGCAGATGACGTCGGGCTATATAGCCTCTGATTGGTCATCCGTGTCACCTGTGACTCCGTTGGTATTATTACTCGAACAGCGCATGCGCAAAAGGAACATTCAGTGTTTTCAGCACCGCCCTCTGGCGGTCATCCGGGATTCATAGAACCGTAGTTACATACGTAACTTTCGTTAGTCTACAGTTAATCTAGTTGGTTTACAATTAATTCTATAGTTAGTCTACAGTTAATCTAGTTGGTTTACAGTTAAGTCTATAGTTAGTCTACGGTTAATCTATAGTTGGTTTACAGTTAAGTCTATAGTTGGTCTACAGTTAGTCTATAGTTGGTTTACAGTTAAGTCTATAGTTAGTCTACAGTTAGTCTTGTTGGTTTACAGTTAGTCTATAGTTCTATGCAGCTGAATGTCTATAGTTAGTCAAGTGTTTCCCCTACAATTACACAAGCAGGGCGCCCCACCATGTCAACAGAACTGAGTGCCCTCCTTACCGAACCAAAACCTCCACCACCCTCAGCGTCAAAAACTGCCGGCACTGATGTAGCAGTAATCTAGAGCAATATAGAAGCAATAGCTAAAAAGCTAGGTAGCATTTCCTCATGCTGAGCCACCCATCCATCCATCCATGCATTATCTTTACCTGTTTATTCCATTTTGGGTCACGGGGGTCGCTGGTGCCCATGTCCAGCAATCACTGTGCGAGGGGCGGGGTACACCCTGGACGGGTCGCAAGTCCATCACAGGGACACATAGAGACAAACGAGACAAACAACCATTCACTCTCTCACTCACACCTAGGGTCAATTTAGAGTTACCAATCAGCCTAACATGCATGTTTTTGGTCTGTGGGAGGAAACCGGAGTACCCGGAGAAAACCCACGCATGCACGGAGAGAACGTGCAAACTCCACCCAGAAGGCCCCTGGACCGGGGTTTGAACCAGGGACCTGCTCGCTGAGAGGCAGCAGCTCTACCAGTTGCGCCACCGTGCTGCCCATGCTGAGCCACCCCCCCCACCCAAAAAAAAACTACAGAGTGCACAACACAAACGTCCCTCCCCCCCCCCCCCCCCACGATAAACTCATGAAAGAGATGAATGCCCTGCCAAGGCAAGTAATGTAGGAGAAACACTTGTCGGATAGACACTGTAACATAGAGCTCAACAGCTAGTCTATAGTAATTTAGAGCAGAGCACCTTTAGTTGGTCTACAGCAGTACTTCCCAAAGTGGGGTACTTGTACCCCTGGGGGTACGCAAGAGGGATGTAGGGGATACGCAAGAAAATTTGAATAAGTGTGAAAAGAGCCAGACTACACTCGCACATGAATAGACTGAGACGCCTTCTCACATAAAAATAATACACGTGTAAATGCCGTTATCTAGTGTTCAGCAAAATGATTGCACTGACAAAGCAGAGGGGTGTGACAATGGGTGTGACTTGTTGAAGGAACAGCTGTTAATCAAAGCAACCTTCACTCAACTTCTTGTCGGGGCTACGAAAATATCAGAAGCCACTGCCGGATTTCTGGATCGGACTGCACAGAACAGCCTGCACTGGCCAAATGCGCTGTAAAGACTTTGATGCCCTTTGCTACAACGTACTTGTGTGAAAGTGAATTCTCATCTCTGACAAATATGAAAACTAAATACAAAGCAAGACTTTGTAACAAGAATGATTTAAGACTCAGACTGTCTCAAATTAAGCCATACAACAGAGTTGTGTGCATCCTTCCAAGCACACCCTTCTCATTTAAACTGTGGTGAGTTTAATTTAATACACAGTATGTTCAATAACTGTTAAAACACCATAAATGTTTTGCAATATATACATTCTACACAGGCTAAATGTTTGGATGATTCAGCCTATAAACGTGTTGCTTATTTTTGCTGATATTTATTAATAAATATCATTTAGTGGGAAAAAATTAACAGTTGTTTAAAACTGTATTTGATATGTGCAGTGTTTATGAACACATTTTAAAGGGAGGGTACTTGGCTAGAGGTCAGATGTATGAAGGGACACACATCTGAGCAAAGTTTGGGAACCACTGCACAATTATATACAGCTGAACATCCTAGATGCAGGATGCATTAAGGGTATGCTGCCAGGAAAAAGACAAAGAGGAGATATACGGATGCAGTTGGAAGACATGGAGGGAGTTGGAGTGAGGACAGAGTGAGATGGAGCTTAAAGAATAAGAAAGATGGTTTAGATTTGGTTAGAAAAAGCAGCTGAGACCGGAGTTCCTTATATGGATCTTATATGTTCTCATCATATTACAAGTCTGTAGTACAGAAGATCTGAGGAGTGTTGGGGATGAGATTAGGCAGGGTCGACATGAATAACGGCTCACAGTTCTAGTTATTATCACAGTTAGTGGCAGATGGTTGAACAGAGCAGAAGTTTCAACTGCAGCTCACTTCTGTTTCTCATTCAACGTCTACAAGCAGAAACGCTCCGTGCAGCAGAGCTAACCAGTCCTTGTTCACCTTGTTGATGCTGTTGTTCACTTGGTTGGCCACCTCTTTGAACTTGTGGTCGGCCATGCTGAAGTCTCTCTGGTCGGGGTTGAGGTGAGCGTCCTGCCACCGGCTCCGAGCTTCAGCTGGATCTATGTCAGGCTGCAGGTTGAACGCTAGCTGGAGGGCCTGAGAGATAGCAAAGGGAGAATTTTCTTCAGACTGTGCTGCGTCGAAATGTAGAAACTTGCGACATATTTATCGTTACACTCTTGTCCACAAGTTGTTAGGAGTCGCACATTGTTCGGGTCCATCAGCTGAAAAGTTGTGTGCAGTATATTTTTATCCCCAATGGTGACCCCGAAGCACCATGGGGCCCATGAACTGCACCTTCACTGTGGCAGCCATTTTGGCCAGTGGCATCCAGAAGGGAGGAAGCACTGAATTTGACAAGGCTGCAGTCTTACTCTGAGCTCAGAGTTTGTTTTCCTAACATATCTTTGTGCTCGTTTGATGAACTCAAACATTCAGACATGAGGAACAGTTGACTCACGTTGTTGCCAATCTTCAGGGATTCATCAATAATCTTCTTCCTCTGAATATTGGCTCCAGGCTTGACAAGGATGTCCTCCACACCTGGACACAGACAGACATGCAGGCATCAGGTGGAGGTGCAGAGCTACTTGCATGCTGGTGTCAGAAGAGGAACAGGTGGTCGGACCCAGAGTGAAGCCTCTGTACAGCTGCAGGTATGCTGTGAAGAGCCGGGCCAGGCAGCTGAGCAGCTTCCCACTGGTCTCCCCTCCGTACAGCTCATAGCAGCTGTGGACCAAACCGTAGGCCGAGGAACCGTAGTGAGCTTTGTCCAGAACCCCGACTAACAGCTCCCCCTGACGGATCACCACCTGGGGAACCAAGGAGGAACGACAGAGCTCAAAAGTCAAGAAATTGAACCAGCTTTGGACTTTTTCTGCTCAAAGTTGCTTCAGTCCTCCAGGTTCTGTCTGGAGACAACGACCTCCAGAACCCTGATCAAGACATTATCAACTGCATTTTTAGTAAATGACTTTAACTTGTTTCCTTTTTTTCTCTGAATGCTCCCCCAACCCCCCAAACAAATATGAGATAAAGTTTTCATACAGGAGAAAAAAAATAAAAAAAAATAATTATATATATATATATATATATATATATATATATATGTGTGTGTGTGTGTGTGTGTGTGTGTGTGTGCGTAAAATATCCTTTTAAAAACATTTTCTTCATAAGTTTTGCCTTTTCCTCCCATTTTTATTTACAAAATTAATTTTCTTACAATTATATTCCTAAAGTTTTATTTCAAATCTTTTTTCTAATAATTTATTTCTAAAAATGTGATTGTTCCACATAAAGGTTAATAAATATACATGTTGCAGTACCTGAGAGTCACACATGCTGTCTGCTCTGTATCCGGGGGCGGCTCGTGGGGGGACCTGAATCCATGCCTTGCTGGGGATCTTGGACCTCCCCACCAGGTTTAGAGGCACAGCTTTCTCTGGGATTATGTTGAGCAGCAACGTGGACACCACCTGCAGGAGACACCACAGAGCAACATCGTCACACGGCCCATGGTGAAGGACGGAGCTGTGGGTCGGTGTGGGGTCTACCTGCTTCCCAGTCCACAGGTGCTGAGGTCTGAGCAGAGCTGGAGGCAGCAGCTTCACCCTGCCCGACTTGTCAGTCAGTCCTCGATACACCAACTCCGTGTACTGGTCTCTGGTGAAGAAGCAGCCTCGTATCGTCATCTTGGTACCTGATACCATGTGGTCCTGGATCAGACCTGCTAAGGGTTTCCCGTCCTGAGCAGAACCAGAGGGAAGAGGAGCCCAGACTGTGAGGGAGCACATGTAATTAACACCCGTGGGGTCCAGACACTTACCTTGGGGACGAGGTACTGCTGGTTGGTGCTGACCAATGTGTAGGCTTCTGCTCGGCCCAGCTCACTCTGAGGGAAGTGAGCGTTCATTTCATCTCCATCAAAGTCAGCATTGTACGCCTTACAGTTGGCGTAATGGAGCCTGAGCACCTGTGATGAAGGTGGAGTCATGAAGTTCTGCTGATGTGAGCAGCAGACAACTGTAGTGAACTTAACCTGATGTCAAGACTAAGCCTAAGGTCAAAACTCTTGACCTTAAGAACCTTGTGGGACAGGAACTGTCATTTCATTGATTTGAATCCAGAAATACAGGTTCACCCATCCTGAGACTTTCTTTCTTGAAAATTCAAGTGGAAGAACACTCTCTGTTCTATTATCATTACTATTTTACAAATGTTGATAATCAAAGTGTCTTAGTTCAAACCATTTTAGATGTTGCAGTGAACTAATCAATTTTATTAACTGTGTAATGATTTTTAATTCTCATGCAAAGTTAGAACTCATGTTAAAGCTGTTACAGAGTAATTATGCATTTTCTGATTTCTGTCTTTGAATGAGCAAGTGTGCATTTTCCAGGGTCAGGAATCGAAGCAGACATGTGTTGGAACAACTGCCTTGTTTTTCATCCTCTCAGACGTCAACAGGGGGGTTTTGGCACCTGTTTCTAAAACTCGCCAAAACAAAACTCTCTCTGTCTGTGAGAACATTTCTGATCTGTTCCATAACAATTCTTGCTGTCTTCTAACCTCTTACGTCACAAAACACACCCCGTCTGGTCGGTTCTGACCAATGGGAAGACTCCCGAATGAACTGGGAAAAGAGCTCTTTAAAATGTCGGTACTTCCTGGTTGACCCGGTTCGGTTCTGTGAGAGTTGAGCAGAGTTGAGTTCAGTTCTGCGCGGAGAAGCCCAGTTCTGTGGAGTTCTGTGGAGTTCTGTTGGTTGGAGAAGTTCGGCGGCGCGGACAGTTCTGATATGTCCTAGTGCTGTGCAGTTGCTGTGGGAGCCGGGAAGACCCTGACATGACCACAGAGCTCTTCCGAGTTTCATGGGATTATAACATTTTCCACTGAGGTGAGCTTGTGTCGGACAGAGCCTCGCCATTACTCCGGACGATTCACAGCATCCTACGGAGACGCTAAAAGGGTGCGTTAAACGGAATCTCGCCTGAGACATCTCCAGGTAAAAGAGTCGATTTCACCACCTAAGTGTACTGTAAGGAAGAAGCTGAAGAAAGCCCGGAGAGTGCCATTCTGTCCAACACTCTCCCTCAAACACCATCCTTTACTCCCTTTAACTTCCTTCCCATCTTTAAACTCCTCTCTCAAGTAGATATTCTTCCAGATATTTAGAAATGTCTGTGTAAAGTGCTCATCCACCGCCGTGTGGATTAAGATCACAATTGTACAGTTTTCATAAATGTCTGTGGTGAAGCAACGGAAAAATCATGGCCGTATGATTTTTCCTGATTGATTGCTTTTGTTGTTATTTTCATAATTTGCCAAATTACTGTAAATGTTTGATGTTAAACTTTGATTCTGTAAATAAATGGCCGCATTCATTTTGATGGGTCAAAGATAAATGACGTCTCACGTTTGCATTTCCTTAAATTCAATGCACGTTTTATTCAGTCCAGAAAAATGAGGAATCCGTGTTAATTGATGAATATATCTGAGCATCTGTTCATCTACACAGACATAGAGCCTGAGACGTGAGCTGACCTTCTCTCCTGGTAAGATGCGAGCGCAGTGGGCTTGTATGGAGGGTCTGTGCAGAGTCGGCTGTCTGTTGAGCAACAAAACATCTCCGTTCTTTATGTGGCGGTTTACCTGAGGAGATAAAAACAGTTAAAGGTGTTCCAAAGACCCGTCCCTGCTGAGCCCTGCAGGACCAACGTTGACCTACGATCTTCATGGGCATCGTATGTGGCACTGGACAGGGTGTCAGCAGCTGCTTGGCGACCGCTTCCCTCTGAGCAAAGTCTGAAGCTGACAGGATGGTCTTTCTGCCGTCCTCGTTGATCACCATGGAGGCACCGGGATGAGTGCTGGGCCCGTTCAGAACCGCCTGCCGGAGCTCCTTTACGTTCCACGGTGTGACGGGCTGAGGGTACGTCAGCTTGGTGGCAAAAACCTACAAGTCCAGAAATGAAAGACTGAAGTCTGCGGCTGCTTGGAGCTCCAGCTTCTGCTGTAGAACATGGCCGTCAGACCTACCATGGGTATTCCTATCTCATTGGTCTCGATGAACATGTCGGGACAAATGACGGAGCGGGCAGCGTAGTCCACTCGCTTTCCCATCATGTGTTTCCGGAACAATCCCTCTTTTTTCTCCAGGATCTGGCAGCAAAGAACAGGTGGAACAATGAGATTCAGCATTTACTCAGATAAACATCAGTGTTTCCCTACCATCATACAAGGAGGGTGCCCCACCCAGTCAACAGAACTGAACTGTCCCCTGACAACTGGCGGTACTGACGTAGTGCTAAGTTAGCAGTGCGCAATAGACGCGCTAGCTTCTGTCACGCTGAACAGTTTCTGTGTCTCCATCAACACCCCCACCCGTCGTTGACAAAATGTCACAGAAGAGATGAGTGCCCTGCCAAGGCATGTGACCTAGAGGAAACACTGAACATGTTTCCATAAGGCTGTAGTTTGGATTAGAAACAAATCACAAACCACACCGCATGCCTTCAGTTTCAACTTTACACCATCCTGAGTGGAGAGAAGTGACCACAGGTAACTACAGATAACTACAGGTAACTTACAGGTAACTTACAGGTAACCACAGGTAACTACAGGTAGCCACAGGTAACTACAGGTAGCCACAGGTAACTTACAGGTAAACATAGGTGACTACAGGTAATAACCGGTACAACTAAAAACATGTAACTACAGGTGACTAAAGGTGACTACAGATAACTACTGGTAACTACATGTAAACACAAGTGACTACAGGTAAACACAGGTGACTATAAAAAAAAAAAAGAAAAAAGAAGGATTGTTCTGGAACTACAGATAACCACAGGTGACTATAGGTAACTACAGGCAACTACAGGAAACGGGAAACTAAAGATAAACACAGGTGTCCGAAAGTGACTATAGGCAACTACAGATAACCACAGGTGACTACAGGTAAAAA